GACATTTTATATCGGGGGTGGGGATTATTGATAAACTGGAAAACATGAGATTCCGTTATATACGCCACACAATTACCAGAGTGACTGAGACATCTGTTCGTCTGGTACACCAACTGTTAAATTGAAGGGGATATGACGTGACAGCTCCGACATCATCACCTCATCATGATGCTGTTTTCATTTGAAGTAATTTTTGCTAGGTACAAAATATATGTAGATAAGCAAGAATCACCTCCAGGGGTGATAATTTCATACTCTTAACAAATAAATTACAGCCTATAAATCTGTAGAATTTAGTCAATAATATATTTTTAATTAAACTTCCTTTAAGAATGTGATTTGCTTAAATTTGTATTTGCTCAGCTGTAAATAAATGTTAAACCATAAATCTGCCAAACTCGATAATCTTCCACGATCAAAATCAATATGCAATTGATAAGTAAATTACTGGGGGTAGGCATTACTGTGCGGAACAGTCACATTCTCTGTGAGTAAGAAAGCGTACTGCTTCTCGTACATCTTTCAGACGTTGCAGTAGCAATTACCCCATCATCCAGGAACCCAAGCAGGAGAATGACTCGTGTATTCCAAAATCCAATAAACATTTTCGGTGAATAGTGCGTGGTTTTGAACGTTTCATGGGAAATGCGGCGTGTTTACACTCTTGAAAATGTAGCAGTGTTAAAATATTTAGTAAAGCCAGTTACAAATAAAAACGGAATTCATGGAGAAGTTACGAGCTGATTAATTTTGATTAACTCTTACTAAAAACACCTTCCACATTTGTCACAGCATATACAGGCCACATTTTGTATGCAAATTTGCTAATAAAAAGTGAATCTTCGTTTCATTGCCTACTTAAAATTATTTTATAATTGTATTTATTAAAGTATCCTAATATTTTAATATTTTCCGTCAAATCACAATTTTAATAAGATAATAAAATATAAAATATTTAAAATATCATTTCACGTTCCGCATCGAATGATCAATTTACAAATTTGAACGTCTCTTACGACATGTTTCGGTTATATTTAACCGTCCTCAGGTATAAATTAGATTGTTACAATATTCACAATATGACGCAAATATACTACCTTACAAAGTATCCTAGTTAAAAGGTCAATCCTCTTCAGAGACTTACGGACTCAACGAGACTTTGGATCTGTAGGGAGAATTAGGAGACCTTGACTGGGCAGACGTTAAGATGATTTTCATGAGTCTTATAAGATACTGTGCGTATGTAAGCATAAGGTAAGAATGGGGATGCACATAAAAAGAGATCAGCTGGTGGTCATAATGCAAGGGTAACTTTGTTACCCATCCCTTTCATTTATTTATTTAAATGTGTGCATACGTACATGTTAAAACGCTCATACCATTAACAAGGAAATCAACTTATAAATGTGAGGAATTTTGCCAATAATATCTTGTATGTTAATTATAAGGCCAGATTCTAAGTTACAGTTGCAGTTAAACTTCTAATAAAGAATGTGATTGTTTAAAAATTGTATACCCTGAGCCATAAATAGATTTTTAACCATAAATTTTATCCAGTTACATATTTTACAGCATCTTCTGGTTAAATTCTGGTTAGCTCCGAGTTCTGATAAATGTGTTACGACAAACATGGCTGTCTTCTGGGTTGTGTAGTGCCATGTAGTATCGTTGCTTCAGAGGTCCTTGCTGCCTTCATCATTAGAGTGATGAAAAAGCTGCGTACATAGAATCACTTTAAAAAAAATAAGATGTTTCTTCACTGCATTCAGCTACAGGGAGAATGGCCTTTGTCTGAGTTGGTCATGGAAGATCTCTCCTTCACTCTCTCAAAGGACATAGGTCTCATGTTATTCTGTCCATTTTATCCCCTTCTGCTGGCCAGTCCGTTAGCCCCCGAGAACTCGCCAAATCCTGACTCTACTCCCCAATAGTCTGGGCAAAGTTCTGCCTTCACCAAGTGGTTCCTTTATCTCAAACCAATTCCATACTCACCACTCTGAAGATGGAAGCAACAAGGACCTCTGTAATGTTACCAGACTATACGGCACTAAAGCTCAAAAAAAACTGGCAAATTTTTATCCATCATTGGAGTCTGAAAGTTTTGTTTCTGTGTTCGTTTCTCCTGAGATCTTCAGAATATATTTGTTTCAAATTGTAATTGTTCTTTGTGTTGGAAGTAATGTGTATTTTGACTCTACTTGAAGTCTGATTTATGTATTCTAAGATGGCTTCCTATTTACGATGTGTAAAATGATATTTTATCTCCTCCTTTACGTAGTCAGTCATCGTGTATTCTTCATGAATCAGGCTCACTTTGTCTCTCGCATTTTCATAAGCAAGGTTGATAACGGTGATGAACACATTAATAAGGAAAATTATAAAAGTCAGCCAATAGATGATGATAAAGACTGGGCCAATGATATAATCTACAGCAAAGAATACTTCATAATCAAGTTCACCTAAACCTATTCCATTGAAAAACAGCGTAGAAAAGGTGTAATACATCTTTGAAAACGGGTAACTAGTGTGACCAATTATGACGTAAGCAATCCCTGTGAAGCCAATGACAACGATAACCATTATGAATGTGACTGGGACCAGAGCCTTGGAAGCTTGGATCAGCGTGTGTTCAAATGAACGAAACTGGCGTCCAAATCTAAGCAGTTTCCAGGCACGGAAAGTGGACAGACACAAAAGTGCCGCTATAAAATGAAGCAGGGTCACTTGCCAGTAAGCTGCCCAAGTAAAGTTGACATATTCGTTACCATCTGCTTCTTCTAAATGCTTAATGAGCATCGACAGGTAAAGTTGACATACTCGTTACCATCTGCCTCTTCTAAATGCTTAATGAGCATCGACACGTACTTGCTACGCAGAAGATAGAGACCGACGATGGTAATGCCCAATAAGGCGATGATCAGATCAATAATATTATACCAGGCAGTGAAGTAAGAGCGTACAGAAGTACGACCGAATCGAGTCATCTGTCGGACGATGAATACGCACAGCATCAATGAGCAGAGTACCATTGCTACCACAGTTGACAGCCCTAGTTCATGGTAATTCAACAGGAGCTTTAAGGTTTCGATCTGAAAATAAGCAGAGACAGAGGACGTAAACGTGAGATGAAAGGTAACGAGGCTCGCGTCTTGAGATGTCCTGTTTACCGTGTGATTTGTTCTCTGTAAGCACTGACCAGACAACAACAAATTATATATGAATTTGCAGGAATTTTAGAGTGGAATTTTAATCAATGTAAAGCCTTGAAGAGGGAACAAGAATTTCTCTTCAAATGCAACCACGAGGTTTCCTTAGTTACGAGGTGCGATCGGAAAGTTTCAAGACTGTGTCAATAGAGGGCGAACCGGATGTAGTACGAGGTTCTGCCGCTAGGGGGTGCGGCCTACATTCATAGTGAATCAGTGTGCCAGCCGGCATCATCGAATTACCATTTGTTTCTTAGTTACGGGCGTTTTGGTAGTGCATTACACCGACCCTCCTGCGATTTCGGAATGGCGTGTGCATCAAATTTTGCCGAAGACTCGCCAAAACGGCTACGGAAACCTATGAAATGCTAAATGCTAATGTCAAAGTTGAAGAGCACCTAAAACGTGTTGAATGGAAGGATGGTCGTTGCTGATGGCTGTACTCTTTAAGTAGCTACTATTCTTACAAGAATTTAGGAGTGGGCCTTGTGCCGCTTGGTTGCTGGGACCGTGGGTTCGAATCCCACTCAAGCCACGGATGTTTTTCTGTGTTGTGCCGTCCTGTGTACAGGTAGAGGCATTGTGACGGGCCGATCTCTCGTCCAAGGAGTCCTACCGAATGTCCAACTAATAAAAACTTGGGGGATCCGTGAAAGGGTACCGGAAAATGTAGAAACATTGTTAAACCGGAAAAAGAAGAATTTAGGAAAAGCGTGGTAGATCTCAACAGCAATGTTCATTTAGCCTTTACTTCACGATAGGTGCAATAAAGAGTAGTGAAGGCGAAGTTTGCTTTGAAGACGAAAAGGTTGGAAACTCACATTTTGCGACGTAACAACCGCTCCTTCAGCAGAAATCTCCACGATAAGGTTGACTACATTGAAAATATTCCTGTTTGCATTGTATGTGGTGAAGTCAATGAAGATGGCACGCGTGTGGTGATCAAACCAATTGTATCGTTTTAAGAACTTCATCACGGTCAGCGAGTTCTCAAGTGTCCGGCCCAGGGTTGTTATGTAACCTCCTCCAGGATACCAAGCAAATTCTCCTGTCATAATATAAAAAGAAAGAGACACAGACCTCTTATTAATTGTTCTCACCGTGAAAGATCTGGACTCTAGTATCTATAGGTTACAGACTGACGATTTGATAACCTGCTCAAATCAAACTCGAAATCCTTGGTTACTGCACGGATGTACAACTTATATATAACTTAAAAGTTTATAGTTTAGATGCGTCATGTTTGTGTTTAAAATTCAAATATATATTTATTATTCAAGTCTATACACAAACTTTTAAATTGTTGATGTTAAAATTTACAATTAATATTAATATTTTGCGCCATTCATCGCTATCTCGATGTTACAATATTGCGCTTTATACTACTACATGTTTCAATGTCATAGCATCATCTTCAAGCTTGCATTAATAAATATAGAGTAGTTTTAAAGATAAAAAAACCTGAAGATGATGCTATGACATTGAAACATGTTGTAATATATAGCGCAATATTGTAACATCGAGATAGCGATGAATGGCGCAAAATATTAATATTAATTGTAAATTTTAACATCAACAATTTAAAAGTTTGTGTATAGACTTGAATAATAAATATATATTTGAATAACTTAAAAGGTTTAGTATAAATATAAGGATGAATTTCACACACCAGTCCCATTCAGTGTACGGCAGTGATGAATCCTTGAAAAATATGCAAGTTTTATCATGACGGTGTTACATACCTTTCGCCAAGACGGTTCCTGATTCCCACCCCGCCCGATATAGCCACGGACTCTTATTTCTCGAGAGTTTAAAGGAATTGGCAACAAACGGACTCCATGAGAGGCTGTAGTTCTTTGTATCTTCAGTACTAAAACTGAACTGAGCACGACATCTACCACGTAGTCCCCTCAACTCTGTCGCAACATTGCAGGTTTCTGTAATCGGTCAGTGAGAGAAACTTTTATGGGAGATAAAAATGGACACACGACTCCAGCTCTTGGTGCAATGGGATTTGTCAATGAATTGATATTTCATAATAAAATCATAATGAATACACTTCCACTTGTCTCCATCACCCTTCCTCCGATCTCCATTCCCACTGGCTGCTGATGACTTATTCCTTTTATACTATGTCTTACGGATGGAAAAATTCCATTAGGACACATTATGATGTGATATAAGTTTATTTTAGCTGTCATGTAATATATTTCAGTTTAAATATGATCATAATAGACGGCAATCACTGTCTCAGACATTTTACTTTTACATGTAAGAATATTTTATTCAACTGTGCAGGAATGAAATATTTTATGAGTGACTTAATGCTCAGAATAGTGTGATTACAGATATTTTTACGAATATATTAGCTGAATATTTGCTTGCAATAAAATACCGAGAGGTGAACGTACCGTTCTTAACCCGTAGCTGTCGAAGTCGGACCAGTCCCAAGAGTTTGGTGTTGTAAACAGCTGTGATACCTGTTTCATTTATCTTCTCGTGGTTGTACAACTCCCCCTGGTGGAGAGCTGGTATCAGCACTTCGGACATATAAATTAAGAACCTATAAAATGAACGCACACTGAAGCTCATATCATTTTATCAGAATTCTCAAAATTGTGGTTTCATGAATCTTGAACCTGCAAGAACCTGGTGAACGCAATACAGCCTATTTTTGCCATAATATATCTTCTACATGAAGGTAATTTGTTGTTTACATGGAACTACAAATCTTAAGTTTCACGAGATCATTGTCCAATTATGGGTGTTATCATCAGCAAATATTTCAGCAAATATTTCTGAATAAATTTCTGTATAAAATGTATCGAGTAGCACCTGCCAGCTCTTGAACTGGGGGCCTCTTTTTCCTGATTGTTAGGCCCCTTTTGCCTACACTTACTTCCAAAAACACTAATAAGAATATAAGAATCTCTGCACTCCCTAGCCCAGAAATATTTGAGATCAGATGTGTTGTTAGTCTACGAAAAGTAATGATCACCACAAATGATGGAATTATTCAGAAATGTGGGAGGAGGGGGGGGGAGATCTTAGTACTTACGGGTTAAAGAAATGTACCTCTTGTGCCTAATGCATGATTTAAATATTAAACTAACACTTGACAGTTTTTATTAAATTTAATGAGCAAATAGAAGCTTACACTTTAGTAGACGTGATTTCACTGAAGATATCAGAATAAACAATTGTATTTTTAATACTACTGGTACTGTAGTATGCCATATCATCCCTGGACCCAAACACGGCACAGTACAGAGTAATGAGATAGATGAAAAATGTTAAGAAGTCGCGCAGATGATCCGTCCACCACGCACGTATCCTCTCCCTGCGTTCCCGCTCCTGGAAACATCAGTAACTACGAGAGATGAACTGACAGATGTGTGAGATTCTACCCAAGTTTAAATACATATCGCTGTGTATATATGACACAACGACCAAACTTTACGCAGAACAATTCGCAAATTCACAGGAGGAGGGACATGTCTTAAAACAAATAACTTTATTACAGTAGTGCAAATGAGCGACTGAACAAAAATTACACTTTGCTTTGGTGTTAGTATCGTTCTGGGCGCTTTCACGGTTTCTACACTAAGCCCATCATCTTATTTTGCAAATATTACATTCCTACAGAATTTGAGTGAAATTTATTTAAAACTGTAAAAGTTACAGTTGTATCAGTCCAAAGTGGCGGGGTTTGAGGCTGGGATAAAATAAATGTACAAACCAAGATGTCCTTCATTTCTAGAGGTGTGTACTCTTTCTCTTGCACTTGTGTACGATGATTAAAAAGTTCATCCATTTCGATTTCCTCCGTGGAAACATCTCTTGCGTGCCGCGAGGTACTTGGCTGCATCTGGACAATCACATTTATTATTATTATTTAGTGTTCTGTCTGACGACAGGTCCATATGAACAGGATCCTTCCATCCTTTTCTCGGACTGGGACCTGTTCATATACGTTCTTGGCAGATGATCCAGAAGTGGTTTGCCATTGCCTTCTTCTGTGTGTGAATGGAGTAATTGTTGGGATGCCACGGAGGAAAACTCCGTGTTGCCTAGACCACGGCCTTGACCAACACAAGTTATAAATTCGGGCACCGCCGGGAATCGAACCCGAGACCCCAGGATTACAAGGCCAGCGTTCTAACCACTCACTGGCCAAATTTAAAATAAAAAGGTTAAGACAGTTTTTAAAAGAATTAACACAGTTCAATGTGACAAAATGGTATTAACTCCTCGTATACTTTGTCCATTCCTCTTTTAACTAATCTCTACGGCTGGACCCAAAAGTACGAAATAGAAAGTGACGCAAAATTCTGGTAGGAAACCTTTTTTGGAAAACCAAGATGAGTGAGAAATATTAAAATAGAGGTTATGTAATTAAACTAAACTGGCAAAGCTTCCACAGGCTAAAAACTGTTACAGCATTTGTGCGTTTATGACTCTACAGTTTTACTGTTGGCAGATTAAAATAATTTGGTTAATAGAAATCAAGCCATGTTGCAACTAGCCAATGAATTTGACAAACTTATAATCAAATAAAAGACATTAATGAAGGTGCCTGGGAAATGTTGCAGCAAGATTTGAACTTCATATATACTTTTGATGATTTTGTTTAAATTTATGATGATATTAATTAAATAAAAGGTATTAACATATACTGGACCACAATGGTAGAGTAACGATAAAGCTTGAAAAAGAAAAGTTGTCAGTGGAACCACGGTTCCGGAGAATTTGACGTAAATACGTCTACACGGAAAGGAAGTTTATATATTGGCTTTATTCTAAATATTTCCTTTATACATGCTTTACAATTGAGATAAGTTTGATTAAGACATTGCTTATTCAACTTGAATTAGTTACGCTTAAGATGGGTCTGTTGTAGCTGAATGTAAGGTAATGTAATATTTTATGGGTAACAACAATGCCGAGTAAACAGATGACGTTTCGTAGGTAACATAACAATGAAGTTATACTTTTTCGTTTCACTTTTTGCCGAATGACACTGACCCGAAAATATAGACGTATTTACGTCAAAAATTAACAAAACTTAAATTTTCCCTATAAGAAATTTTCCCTTTAAGAAGTTGTTGGTCCATAAAAGAAAACCTGTTATTAGGAAAACACCGAATGACATTCAGTTTCATTCACTCATATCTGAAACACATACCCATGATGGTGAACCCTGATTTTCACTGGAATGTTGCTCATATTGCTTTTTTATACTTGGCATTTCCAGATTTTGATTTTTTCATGCGCAGAATCACACCAGTTTATTTAAAACCTGCGCATATGAAGAGTACAATTATTACTATATAAACCACCAAACAATAAACACGTTCTCATTATTACATTAGAAAATGGCAGATGGCATATATTTTTGCATTATTAAAAATATATATAAAACATTGCATTGTCACTAAATATTTTTCATAGTTATTTAAGGAATTAAATGATTCCACATCTCCCCTGTGACCTTTTAAATTGAGGTTATACACTCTTGATTTTATATAATTTCTACAACAAAACTGGAATTAAAACTATTTTACAATCCATAAATCCTTCATATACAAGTCAAGGATGTTGAACATGTTATAGTATGAATATGAATATATCAATTGTATTCATTTGATTTGCCGTTGGGGGGACAAAATATATCTCAGAAGGTTCTACAGATTGTTTTGGTTATGTATTACATTGACTGTTGGTCAGATTTTATTCAGTTACGAAATAAGTATTGAATGAGTCTGTTATAAGTTTAGGACTGTTTATAAACTATTATATACGTTCACTAATATATTTTTCTATTGTGGAATGTGCCTGTTTCGCCTTTTACAAATTTACAAATAGTTTTTTCTAACCTTATCAAAATTTCACACCTGATCCTCAAGCCTCAACTTACCACTATTATGTTTCTCACACACAATACAAGCATAAATTCGGATGAAATTGTGTATTCCTCCTCATTGCTAAAACTTACTGACACTATTAACGCCAACGTTTGTTTGGAAAAAGTAACTATGGAAAATCGAACATAAACAAAGTCAACAATTGAATAGGATTTGAAGTTTTCACGGCTGGCCGCGGCGCAGTGCTGCTCTCTGTGAGCTGTTCAGAAGTAAATAAAGCCGACGTGACAGTAGCCTAGTCGATAAGAAGGTTAACTACTATTCATCCATAAAAATATCTGTCCCCCATCTAAACGTTACTAATGAATAATTTTGAAAATTCAAAAAGTCGATTTCACTAGACTACACATCACTAGAAAACTATCACTGCAGAGAGTATTAGATATCTTTATCTTATTCGCAACACTTCGGTGCACTTCCAATTCTTCCACTCCTCACAGATCATCGCTATCACTCGATTCATCACTTCCGCTGCTCCTGTCCACTACATTAACTTCATATATATATATATATATATATATGACCTGCTTTTACCTCGTGACAAGGGATCACCATATTTGTCGAAAAGTGACGAAGATTCACCAAAATTGTAAAAGTGTGACCAAGCGTGACAAAGCGTGTCTTTATCTTATTCGCAACACTTCGGTGCACTTCCAATTCTTCCACTCCTCACAGATCATCGCTATCACTCGATTCATCACTTCCGCTGCTCCTGTCCACTACATTAACTTCATATATATATATATATATATATATATTAGTGACAAGGCGTGACTAGGCGTGACCTCCTTTGAAAGCGTGACGAGAGGACACCTTAAGTGTTAAAACCACCAAAATTGTAAAAGTGTGACCAAGCGTGACAAAGCGTGACTACCTGTGACGTACTGTATAGGCGTCACATGATGTGACCATAAGTGATGAAAAGTGACGAATATTTTCAAAACGTTATGTAACCTAAAATAACGAAACCTAAACTAAACTAATATAACTTAGCTTAACATAGCCTTACAGAACACAACCTTACCTAACCTATCCCAACCTAACCTAACCTAACCTAACCTAACCTAACCAAACATAATCTAACCTAACCTAACCTAACCTATCCCAACCTAACCTATCCCAACCTAACCTATCCCAACCTAACCCAACCTAACCCAACCTAACCTAACCTAACCTGTCATATCTTCATCTAACGTAAAGTACGCGTTCTGATACGTGACTTACTGACCACGCGTACCCAAGCGTGACATAGCGTGACCTGCTTTCACGTCTTGACAAGAGATCTACAAATATGTCGAAACGTGACGAAGATTTACAAAGCGTGACCAAACGTGACCAAGAGTGACAAAGCGTTACTGGGCGTGGTGGCATGTGTTTAACCCAGCACAGTCACAAGACAATATTTATCAGGCTTCTACATTGCTACACTGACACAGACTGTACTGACCGACGGAAACTCCTTCCTTCCTTCCTTCCTTCCTTCCTTCAATGAGTGGTCCTCATACTGGGCTCTCCCTACAAGGTCAGCGGCCATAATCGGTGGAACGGTTATTCCGCGAAAAAGTGTTACGAAAAAGTGACGGGAAAATGTGTAACGAAAAAGTGACGGGAAAATGTGTAAGATCCATATCAACAATGTGTAAATATGGACCGACAACAATGGTCAGCTTGCGTGCATTGTTATGTTACCTAGGAAACGTCATCTGTTTACTCGGCATTGTTGTGTTAATCAACAATCCGCTTTCGTAACAAGATGGGTGACATTGAAGATAACATTACATTACATTACAGAGACGTAAATATAATTTAAATACAGAGGCGTATTTACGTCAAATTCTCCGGAACCGTGGTTCCACTGTAACTTTTTTTAATCTGTGTGTTATTCGGGGTACATTGCGTTAATCATAATATGCAAAATACGATACTAGTAAGGCAAACATAACCCATAACTTCACGACTCAATTGATTAATCACGGAGACGAGATTCATTTGTTTATATTGCATACTCGACGTAACTAGATATGTACGTCGGAAGCAGTTTCTTGATAAACAATAAATAATGTAGCGCTGAATTGTATTGTTGAAAGATTTCCGTGGAAACAGACGATTTTTCTGCTGCAAAGGAGTGCTTTTGTGAAATAATATGTGTGAAAGTATGAGAATTTTTACTGAGGAAACTTATCCACGGTCATGGAGTCTAAATCCACAGGAACGGAGAAAATATATCCTTCAGGAAATAGAGGGCTCACATCCATTAACGGTAAGTGTATTTCATACATTTTTACATTCCGTCGATCTTCGTGAATGGCCTGCCGAATCTTCGTAACGTTTTCGGGCGTTGTGCTCGAAGATGGTCGTCCAGAACGCTCGTCATCATCGACAGAGGTTCGGCCATTTTTAAAACGTGAATGCCACACAAAAGTTTGTGCACGACCCATTGCGGACTCCCCAAATGCTTGCTTTAGCATTTCATAGGTTTCCGTAGCCGTTTTGGCGAGTCTTTGGCAAAATTTGATGCACACGCCATTCCGAAATCGCAGGAGGGTCGGTGTAATGCACTACCAAAACGCCCGTAACTAAGAAACAAATGCTAATTCGATGATGCCGGCTGGCACACTGATTCACTATGAATGTAGGCAGCACCCCCTAGCGGCAGAAGCTCGTACTACATCCGGTTCGCCCGCTATTGACACAGTCTTGAAACTTTCCGATCGCACCTCGTATGTTCCGATAATTTGCAGCTTTTAAACTTGTTTATATTTTTCAGTAAAATGATCATGTAGTTAGCGCAAGTCTATGTTCGAATTGACGTCTTCCTGAATGGAACACACTGATTTATTTCAGATTGAAGAGTGTTTGTCTGTTTCTTGTGGTTATGTATGATGAATCTGGTTTCCGTGATTTAAGGACTTTCAACCGTTCTGCCGCGCTGTTGTTCTTGTCAAATAGATTGCCTGTTTTGTTTATGTGTGCAGTTTCTCATGCTGAAAACAGTACGGAAGTGGCAAGGAGGTCTGATTGTGGCAGACTTGTCTTTATCTTGGTTACCAAGTTGCATGCATATAGATGAAACTTCTCATCTTATATGTCTTTATATTTTTAGATTAGCTACCAGGGTCTAGCAAAAATGCTGTTAATAACAGCGAGGATGCAGAGAGTCCATGAAGATATGTGTTCTGGTGCATATGATGTAAGTACAACAGCAGTTGAGTGTCATGTTCCATCTGTTGGTTCGTGTAAAGGCATTAGAAAATTAGTCAATCTGGAGAGAAACTTTATTGCAGAGTTGTGATGTTGTAAAAGTTATTGAATCAGCATTAAAACATATGTGAGTAACCAAATTCTTCAAAAATATTGTTGCGTCATTGGTACATACTGTGATACTTAATAATTATGGCTTGGTTTTGAGTAGCGGATCGTAGCGTAGTTGTGGAACACTGATAGTCTTACCTTACTGTCAGGTGATCTGTTTATCGTGTGGTTTAGTTATCTAGTTTATACCTTCCGAACGAGGGGCATCCGAGTCTTGCAAGGCGTTTGATGTATGTTGTGAAATGGTTTGCAGGCGAGACGAAGGAGAGACCAGAGAGATACAGAGGCTCTTGTCAAGGCACTGGAAGCAGAGGAGGATGGACCTAGGTCTGGAACAGAAAATGAGTTGTCTGTCATTGGAGGTTATATAGACAAGATTATGAAAAGTGACATGCCTCTTGCTGAAGAAGAAACTCTTCTTAGTTCACAATTTGAGAATTTGAAGGCCCGTTGTAAGAAGTCAATGGCTGTTATTGAGGACAAAGGGGCGGAGGTGACTGGAATAGGAGAACATGTAAATAAGCTGATACACGAGAATGAGAGGATGCAGTTGCAGATTGAATTAGAGAGTGACAGGGAGAACGACTTAATGGAATTTAAGCAGGAAACGGATGAGTCTAAGGAGCAACTGGAATGGGAGCTGGAGGCTATGAAGAAGGGTTATGTAGATGTTTATGGAACAGCTTGTGATTGCATGGAAGGCTCTCAGTGTTTTTTCTTAGATTCTGCGGATAATGGGATGAATGAACGTGAAGTTTTGATGAATGTGATAGAACAGCAGGCCGCACATAAACGATTACATTCATCTACAAGCATTCAAAATAATTTATGTGCTGAAGGGAACATTCCACGAGTGAGATCACAAGACTATTCTGGTGTTAATGCAGAACATGAAAGACTTGATGAGAAAGGAAAGATACCCAGTTGCACGAAGACGTTGGCTATCGCGAAGGACACTGGAGGAACAACACAGCTGGAAGTAGTCTTAGATGACTTAAAGGAAAGACAACTGGTCCTTGAGGAACGGCGGATACAGATGCAAAATGAATTGGATTCATTTAGTGACATGCAGAAACATTTGGTGGTACTGAAGCAGATATCAGACGAGACTTATAATATGAGTCAGCAGCTGGGACAGAAGGTGGATTCTCTTGGGAAGGCTGGTGTAGATGAAATAGATTCTTATTATGTGAAAGGCTCTTGGTACAGTGAAGAATGTGAACTTATAAAGAATATTATGGAAAGGGTAGAAGATAGAGCAAGACATAGACGTGATGATCTTCTGCTGAACGTGAAAAATCAGCAGGCTGCGTTGTATGAATCTTCAAGCATTCAGATGAATCTCGCTGCTCAAAGGGACGTCCCACAAGTGAGATTACGAGATCGTGCAGGTGTTGACGCCGAACTTGAAAAGCTTCATTACAGCGAGAATAAAGCTAAAGCGATAAGGATTGAGTGTGACAAACTGACAGATATTTTAGGAAAAGTTTACAGCGTTGCGGTGCCCCTACTTAACAAGGTCAATAAAGAAGATATAATTACTGACGTAGACAATGATAAACAAGTGGAGGTCTCCCGTTATGGATTGGAATTATGGGACTGACTGCTTTGATTGACGCTCATTCTTCTGACATGGAAAAGAATCAGGTAAGTCGCTCTGTTCTGCCCCCTGGAACAACGTTCTTTGCAGCATTTTGCTGTCATATGCTCTCAGTCTGTGTTCTTCTCTAAATGTGAGAGACAGAGTTTCACATCCATACAAAGAAACGGGTAAAATTATAGCTCCGTATATTGTGAATAGATCCACGGTGGTCTAGCGGTTAGAACGCTGGCCTTGTAATCCTGGGGTCTCGGGTTCGATTCCCGGCGGTGCCCGAATTTATAACTTGTGTTGGGCAAGGCCGTGGTCTAGGCAAAACGGAGTTTTCCTCCGTGGCATCCCAACAATTACTCCATTCACACACAGAAGAAGGCAAGGGCAAACCACTTCTGGATCAGCTGCCAAGAACGTATATGAACAGGTCCCAGACCGAGAAAAGGATGGAAGGATCCTGCTCATGGCCGTGGTCTAGGCAACACGGGGTTTTCCTCCGTGGCATCCCAACAATTACTCCATTCACACACAGAAGAAGGCAATGGCAAACCACTTCTGGATCATCTGCCAAGAACGTATATGAACAGGTCCCAGGATCCTGTTCATATGGACCTGTCGTCACACAGAACACTAAATAAATAAAAAAATAAGATTGTTAATACTTTCTTCCGTTAATATTCCTGTTAGGATTATTAAATTAAAGAGGGTTCAGTTGATGCAATGTGCATTACTGAAAGGGGAAAGTTATCGTAGTTTTAGTAAACACTGGGTAACTTTCAACATTCAACATGCCTTGTCCCTTAAAGCCTACAGGTGTGAAAACCTGAGGACAAAAAATTTGAAGATTGTTATCTTCTGAGTTATTGTGCTATATGGTTTGTGTAAAAGTTTACTGATGATTCAGAGGTGATTTCTGCCTCCATCATCATGATCATCAAATCTCTTATATTTAAACCTTATTAGAATACACCAACTGCTAGTATACAGGAATAACATTCATAACTATCCATATAACTGCAAGAAATTTTCATAAGTGGTCTAATTTTACATCTTTACGTCCCCCCCTCACCGACATTAAGTAACACTGATTGTATAAAATATCTCAATGTGCCCCGTTGTATAATAAAATATATTTGAAACAGAATATTTTATTGTTTTTAAACTTTCATCTGAACTGCTATCAGACTGGTAAATGTCTATTGTGATAGACACACTCAAAAGTTTTGTTTAGAATTCTGTATGTACGCTCTATAACAACTTGTTGAATTTCTTACATAAAGAATGTGCCCTCGATTTAAGACATTTCGATGTTCTTTGCTTCGTTCAGTAAAAAAATTTAAGTTGAATTTTTTTGAATATTTATTCAGCCATGTGTTTTTGTATTCTCCATGGATTTTTCTGTAAATATCTTCACAAGCCTAGACAGAGACTTAGTAATATAAATTATGATAACATTTGTTTAGTCGATACTCTGATAAGAGTCTTAGGTTTTTGTAATGTCCCTCTGTATTCCTTGTGAATTCATCTGTAAATATTTAAATATACATTTTTGTGTCTTCAAGATGATAAAGAATTGTACTGCACGTATTTACCTACTTTGAAGGTAAAGAAAGGATCTAAGAACAGAAGGATTTGGTAAAAGAGAGAAGAGAAAAATTGTTATAAAATTTTACTACAGTCAAAATTGGATCATGGCAAATATAATGCTCATTTCTTTGTTGTTAAATCTCCAGCTATTGTCTACATATACACTAACGTACAGGGTGGAGAGGACAGGATATGGGCTTTAAAACACAGAAACTATATCGATAATTTGTGAGATACCACCAGAAGAGCTATTGTAGAACATTACAAAAATAGCACATCTCCTGGGCTTTTGGTGGAACCTCAAAAGACTGACAGCAATGTTAACATTCGCTATCAATTTTGTCATGGCCACATAGCATATGTGTGTACACAGCGTCTCATGATACAATAAAAACAAGAAGGTAAAGAAGATATTATAATCAAGAGAACACAGGAGTAGAAAGCGTATCACAAATCTCTCTTTAGTGGTAACATACATTTAGAACCTAACCTAACATAACCTAACATAACCTAACATAACCTAACCTAACAACCTACTGAACAGTAATCATCGAAATAAAATAAATATGTTGCATGAATATTCATGTATATTTTATTCTGTGCATGTGAACTTCTAAACATTAAAAGCTTCTGCAGAATGACAGAATATTTATAAATAGGAAACATAAGTATTACACTGAAATAAGGAGCTAAAACATTCTTTTTTGGGAAACGCTTTCATGAATGTATAAACTATTATTCATGTTTGTCACAGCTAGGTTTGTGTGGTTGTCTTTTTTTATAGAATCAACTTGGAATGGTTCAGTCTAATCCAGTGGAGTGGGTTATCACAGTCAGTGGGTTGCATGCAGTTCCTTCCCCACTACAAAAAGAAACCAAAATGCCATCATGGAATTGGATTTCTTTAATTGGCAGATGAAGAAAAATCTTAAGTGCTGTAATGGGATTTACAGATTTTGTAAGGAATTTCACTATTACACAAAATAAAAACCACTCACACAGGACTCTGGACACACGTTATATGTGAGTTATGTGTTATGCTAGAGAACAGAAAGGAAAGAAGACGCGGTTTAATCCGTACCATCACAAAATAAAACATATTTGTTTTTACGTTGTATTTTTTTCCCCCCAGAAGAACAGAATAGCAAATGGAAGGAACTGACATCCTTGCTTTTGAGAACTTGGCACAACTTAAAAATTCAGTAAATTCATTCTGCAGAGCAGTACAAAAAATAATTGTGGCTCTCAGTACTTGCATTATAAAGATGGAAAATAAATAAAATACAACATTGCCTAAACACAAAAATTAATTTTACATGGTCGACATGGGCTTAGTTAACTTCGACACTTAGCAATACCAAGTCCACAATCAAAATTAGATGTGTTAAGCTGTAAAATTTGTAAACTGGACTGAAAATGTTTTTCAGTTTCTTGTTGTCTGAGAAGTCATCCAAGATATGTTTCAAGTGTTATCAGAAATACAGTGAATATTAATAACTGATTGTTAAAATGCTCTACCGCATGCAAGTGTGTTCTGGTGTGTGGTTTATGGCTTCAGAGGTGTTACCAGTCACAAATAGGTTCATAAGGAAGAAATTATTTAGAAAGGCATTCACAGGCTCTGGTCATTCTGTGTTATTTCTTGCTAATTATGTATTCTTCAGGCTTGTAGTGAAGAGTGGAACGTTATACACATTTTCCAAATGCATTCTTTGTGAATCTTCATTCTCTATGGTCCTGATATTTATTTACTGCTGATACAACCAGTTTGTTTCTTTAATCATATTAATTTTGTATTGCAATTCTGGTGTACAAATAGCACTAAAAATGTACGTATGTCGTACACCAATATGTAGGTCTGTTGTTGATGAAGCCAAATAATAGAAATATATAAATATATAATAAATATATAAATGAATTACCTTTCACCCTGCATATAGCTAACCCCTTTAGAGAACTTCGTATGACACCCTGCCTGCGTTTGTGGGTACATGTTAATGGCAGGACATCCCCAGCGCCTGAGAGACGTGTAAGGTGTTTGGACAGATGCCGTTTGTCGATAGCGCATTCAAGATCTCAAATCTAAGGTATCAAGTACAGGTAATTTCTTTATAATTGTTTTATTATTTGTAAATGACATAAAAGTATTAAAACCTATTAATTATTTTAATCTTCTTCACCTTGTGCTGCAATCTTGTGGTAGATTTAGTGCTAAATATTTGGTCACATAGAAGAGACATCTCATGTTCAAGAGTATATACATTTTTCATTGTATTTCAATAAATATACATCATACTGAAAAAAATGTTTTGAATAAATGCAGTATAGTGACCAACTACAGACTGGACAATCAGGGATCGATCACTGACAGGAGTAGAGGATTCTTCCTCTAGCTTCTACATCCTGACCATCTCTGGGGCCCACCTAGCCTCCTACCTAATGGGTACCGGGGCCCTGTCCCAGGGGTAAAGAGCGGACAGGACGTGATGCTGACCACTCACCCCCTCTAGTGTCGAGGTTGAGAATGAGTAGGAGCTATATCTCCTCTCCCTCTTCCCCTTGGAGAAAATTTATAAAAGTTTAATTTCAGCATCTTTTGATGGAAACATGAAATATGAGGTAGGATGATGATAGAGTCAGCAAGGGCCTCTGAAATGTTTTAAAATTCTACCAGAATACATGGCACTACAAAGTAGAAGATAACCATCATAACGAAATACCAAGTTTCACTGAAATCCATTCAGTATTTTCTTAAATAAAATATTTAAATGGGTGGTTGGACAGACATTACATCCCAATTATGCTTTCATTTTTGTACTTTGTGAGAATAACACATGAATATTTATAAAAAAAATTTATCAAGAGAGAGATTTTACTAAAGATATAAATCGTGGGGAAAGGCTGTTGCGGCGAGAAAATGAGGAAAATCATAGAAAAGGGACTTTGTCTGGAAAGGTACCTAAAATTTATGCTGGAATTCAGTTTCAAGTTCTTACATTTAAAGATGCAATACTTGGTTATTTCATATGTAGTGTTATAAATATATTACAAGTAGGTAGCATGAAGTTTTTTAATGTAATTTCACCACTGTGCAATAAAGAAATCCTAACATTTTAAGATAAAAGCAATGTTTCTGTTCTCTTCAAGATAAAACACCTGGAGAACAAGCATGTTCTGTCCAATCTCCCATTTCTGGTTGTTTCAGAACAAATGAACAATATATGTTATGAAATTGAAGCTTTTGCTGCTATCAGCAAAAGTGAAAAAGTACTGTCTGGAAACATGAGAGCTGTTTATAAATAAAGATTTACAATCACATTAGCCTGACTGAACATTTGGTGTCCAAAACATGAAAAAGACAGCCAATCAAAACATGGTGCTGTATATTTAACAAAAATATGTTTTTTGTAGTGAAATCTTTCAAACAAATGAGACGTGTTTCAGAATATCAGTCCTCAGTAACAATAGTGTTTTGAATTTGCATTTAATGAAACAACTGTTCAAATTCCGAAAGTATTTCACATAATTTCTTATTTAATTCCTTTGTATATTATAACACCTTGAAATAAATTATGCTTGAATCAATGAAGAAGTAACAATTTAGCAATAGCATGTGTGTTTACAAACAAATAATCGATGACGATTTCTGTCTTCTGGGTTGTTGCGCTGTGTAGTCTGATCGATGCTAACCAACGTTTCAGAGGTCATACTGCCTTTGTCATCGCCCTGATGACAGAGGCAGTATGACCTCTGAAACGTTGGTAAACATCGACCAGACTACACAGCGCGATGTTGCATGTGAAATTTTACTGAATTTCTTTATATTTGGCAGTCATTTTAGAGTATTACTGCAGTTATTTATGTGTAAAATTATGATAATGTTCTTAGAAATTCTTTGGTTATAAGTGATAATAATTTGGTTATAAGTTTCAGGTAAATTTCTGAAAATTTGAAGTTTCTGCGATACAAACCAAAGTAAGTCTTCTACTCTACTTGTATCAATGTTAATGAAAGGAGTTAACAATTCTGTGAAGAGCTTGAACTGCATGTCTTGAAGTTGACAATCCTGATGGAGTGATAATTTTCTCACTGTAGCTCCTCATTTCTTTTGATGGTTAAAATTGTCAGAAATACCTTTACCTATAAAGCTTTTATACAGACAGATGTACCACTTTTATTAAAGTGAAAAATTTGTCCAGTTTTCATTTCATATAAAAGTAACATACATAATAAAACTGCTGTTTCACATGAATTAAGGTCCACTATTTGAACATGGAATGCTCTGTATATTTGTGTTGATGCAGGACAAACTCAAAGATCAATTTAGGCATGTGTTGCTGCAAGTGTGGAGAGTTGTCCTCTGAAAGATTTTTAATTTGTTTTTGATATAACATTGAACATCACTGTTGGTCCACTCTAGCTGTAAGCATTATATTTTTTCCTTAAAAAATTTAATTTGGTTTCTGAAATGAAGATACATATTAAATGGTTTGAGGTAGCTTTGAGATCAGTTTTCAGTTTAAAAAGTACTTGGTTTCAAAGAAGTCTAAATATGAGTTTGGTTTCACAGAACTGCTGTGCCTTACTCCAAGAAGAATTGTTCAAACTAACCTAACCTAACCTAACACCATTTGGAAAACTAAAAGTTAACAGAGTTAAATCGAATATAGTATAACGGTTTACTTGAAATTTAATTCTGTAGCTTTGATATAAGCACATGAAATTAATACTATATTCTTCAAAGTACTACAGAGAGTTGTTACTACCCATTAAATGGTTACCAAATTTGAGTAGGTAGGAATGTGCAATGGTACAATAGCAAGGTTATAACACAAAAAAATGATGACTGGATGAAGGTTTTGTACTTCTTAAGACAGGATTTGGGTGAGTTGTCTAAAACTTTCACATCAATCAAATGTACTACATTTTTGGCAATGCTTAAGCTGCGTTTTGTTAGCAGTTAGCCAGGAAAATCATGCAAGATGCCAGAACTTCATATTTATATACATATCAAAACATATACATTCTGGATGACTATATCCCAGTTCTTATGGCCTCCAATACCATTTCACATTTGATACAGAATAATTACTTTTAGAAAGCCTTTCTTTATTCCTGTAAGCATCTCAAAGAGTTCCTTGAAACTTCCTCGACAGTAACCTAACCTAACATATACATTTACATTATGTACAGCAACAAGGGGTGTGGGGGGTGGGGGTTGGTAACAACAGTAAAAACTCAATATTCTCTGTTCTGAGCAAAATACACTGAACAGTGGTTGCATGTAATTGAATAACACCAAATACAGTAGCAAATGTACAGTTACAGTCCAAATTTTCGAACACCACCCGGGTGTCTTTCAGAGGAGAGATGTTTGGGTGATAGGTTTAGGTTCCAGGTTTTACAAAGGAAATTGTAATCATTCAGTTTACTTAGCGTACTCTGCACATCTGACAACATTTAAAATATTTTGCTAGTCATTGGTAGTTACAATTTCCTGACAACTGACTTACAGTACAAGTAAGTACAAGAGTTAATTGGTATGTTAAGTACCATAGCTCTAATTCTGATTGACTTGACAACACACTTTCCATATTTCTGCACACGTGTACATAAAACCCTCCTACAGGTGTAGTATCACAGTGAATCAAAGTCATGGGGACCATGGGCCATGCTCTGTCCCCAGATTGCCCCAGCCCAAAAACAAACAACATTGAAGCCTGATACTCATGTGGCCCATTCCAAGCAACAACCTGGTCACACACACACACACACGCACGCGCACACACACACACATACATATTTATGTATAATATTTTAATATAATCATAATAATAGTATTAATAATATTTTTCTCTGAATTCTCAAAATCAATTAATGAGCTCATATACAATCTACACTTCCCTCCATAATTTAAAAGATCCAGACCCACTCGTGAGTTAACAGTTCTTCTTCAGTGGTAGCTCCTCTGAATTGGTTATTGAACTGATGTAAAACAAGATGTAAATTTTGGTACTTACACTTATTTAAGCATTCAATTTTGTTACCAAATGTTAACATATCTCCCTGTCAGCAAATATCTTATCCTTTTGTGTCTCTTTTCTCTCCTCAATAATATATAAAGACTAGTTTCAAAATAGGAACATTGCAGCCACAGTGATTCAACCAGCACCACAGACAGGTGTGATGAGAAATATCAAGAAGCCACCAACTCTACTCATATTCATGCATCAGTCAAAGTTCAATAAATAATGAGATATGTAGACCATTATGTTATGTCTTTGTGCCTCTTCAGTGCAGAGGCACAGAACAGTCTCATGCCGCCAGTCCTTCTCCCCTAGGGGTTGGTGGTGGGTGAGGTGTCACATGACCAGGTGGTGATGGAGATGCATCCACAGGTTCATCAGTGTTCCCACTAGGTGGTTTTCTGTCATAATGAAGGTCCCACATTCCTCTGGACATGGCTTCCCGATCTGGACCGTCATTTCCTCCCAATTCACGTAATGGAGGAGAGCCGTGGTGACTTCCCAAAGACAATGATAATGGCAGTGGAGATGATGGTGGCTTGTCGGACAGTGGAGAATTTGGTTGAGATTGTGGGGGCTCTGACATAACCGGCTTGTCAGATCTACCGTAACCTCCAAATCCCAACAAACTGGCATATTTACCACCAGGTGGACTCAGACCAGTGCCATTATTGCTGTTCACACTCTGGATCACTGAGATCTCATTCAGCTGCAATGAAATCAATGGACTATGACACGAACAGTAATCATGCTCATATATATATATATATATATAAATATGATAGTTTTGCAAAACCCACAGAATGTCAGCATTCTTTATGCAGCCTGCCAAAATCAGATGTCATGTGGCATGTAAATAAATGCCATGAAATGTACGTTTCCAGTGTTGATCAATTTTGATGTTGACGCTATATGAAACTTGCTACTTCAGGACCAGAGCATTTGCCAACATGGAAAACAACCATCCTCAGGTTTGTAAAATGTATGGCTTTTGGTGATTCAAATAAAATTAATCACTGTAGTATTTTGTAATGAATGTTGTTGAAGCTGGCTCTCAGATTGAAATTTAAAATTATACTATTTTTTTCTCTCTCAGTGTGATATATATGTGTGCTGTGACTTTGTGGTTACAATTTTTTGTGTAGTCAATTTTGTTATAATGAATGTTTTAGGAAATGTATCTGCAGCATACTAAATGCTGAGCTATGACATAGTCGTTATTAAAGTTGTATGTTTCATGTGAAATAGTTCACTTCCTCAGTAATATCAATGGCTGACAAAGTAAAACCAAGAAAGAAGAAAGTATTTCAAGAATAATAGGAGATTTGTTGAGAATAAAGGTACCATCACATGCATAATACATAAACAAAGTATAAGGTGCTGAAATTATAAATCAATGGACATAACCTCAACTGTTTCAATGACTATGTTAGCACATGCTACAATATTTTATTTTGAAATGTTTGCTGAACTTGTAGATTTCCATTCAATGGAAGGCTAGACACTGGAATCACAATTTCATTAAAACGTTATTGAGTTGTATCCAGAAGCATAATTTGGAGTTATATAAGCCTGTGGGTATAATTACTAATAGTATGCTTCCTATGCCTGGTTCTAAAAATGATCTGGTGTTCTTTCTTTATAAACATGTGCTCAAGTTGCATCTCCAGAATCAACAGAGTAACCACTGTGTTATCCTTCAACAAAATTTAAGTCAGTGATTAGGTCACATGGAGTAAACCTCAGAGAGTTCAAGTTAGTGGAATCAAAAGTGAATATTGAGACAATGTGCACAGTTTCGAAGTCGCTTGGCATATAACAGGCAAGATTTTTCAGACTGAATCACAGTTTTTCTTATTGAAAGAAGACACTAGCTTTAAAGATGTAGGTTTAGTAAGTGGTTTGGCTTCCTTGACAGTCATTTGTGAATAAATCATTGACCAAAGCAACTAGCTGCAAGGGAGATTTTTGACTTTTAAATGAACTGTTCAACAATGTACCAGCATTTTGAATGAAATTATCATTATTTAATTCAGCTTTTAGATAACATTTGTTACTTTCATAACTGGCAGAAAATATTTCAACAATATATGATCAACAGTGGTTAGTATGTCAGTCACATTCAACAGCTCTTGCAGTCGCTTACAGATAGATCTGTGGACATTGCTCGGAACATACGCTAACCTTTACAAAATACCCTATAAAGATGCTGAACCCACTTTACAGCTTGGAGGATCAACCAACACTACATTAATGAACTTAGATCCAAATTTAAGAAGGCAATTTGCTTAACTTTTATGAATATCGTAAGACAAAATATCTGAATCTGTGGCATACGGTGCAGGCTTGTTTGAAAGCACTTATATTTATAAACAAACTTTCTTTCTGATGAAGGGAAATAAATCTACACAATGGAAATGACTGACAGATGGAAGTCTTACTTAAATCCTTTAACTGAACACAATAAGCTCATACCTAGCTTGAAATGCTAGGCATCTACTGCATCACATTAGTAAGTTGTTATGTTTCAGTTATTAAAGAAATTAGAATTTTTTTCACAAATATTTTTCATAAATTCCACGTGACTT